GTTTTGTTTGGTTTGTTTATAATCATGAGTCCCTATTATGTGAACCATGGTAATAAATATCTTACATACAATGACAGAACAAAACAGAACGGTAATGATTGTCAGGCTGCTTGCAGTCGTAATTTCTTGTTTGGGATACATTAGGTCTTATTTATCTATAAAGAATAGGCTATGATGAAATGAAAAATGGAGACTCAATCACATGAGGAGACTCGGTGTTTTGTTTTCCGGTGATTTTTTAACAGATACAACACGGTATGACATGGATGGGGTGTAAAACGATCTTTCAGAGAAATGTCAAGTCACGTTCTATGTTCCGTCCTTCCTTGTCATATACTATTTAGTGTAAAGTAGGTATACCTAGACTACCATATTTAGAGTTGGACTGATAATTTGAAGCTGTTCCCACTTTTGTATGCCATTATAACAGTTCATTCATTCATTGCTTTATTCCTCCAAAATTGGAGAATCACATAAATGTACATACAAAACAAAACCAAGCCATACATAATACAAAAGTTATTTAGTTTATTTTGGTTTAATTTTGTTTAACGTCCTAATAACAGCTACATGTATGGTCATTTAAGGACGTGCCTCATTGTTTGTAGTGTATGTGTGCTTGCATGTGTGTATTCAGGAGACAGGGCATGTTGGTGTCCTTGCCTCCTTGTGATAGCGCAGATCTGATGCCGACTTTATAGTGCCATCTCACTGAAATACCATGACGAAGGCATCCAGCACAGCATACCGCAAAAAGTTATATAGCATGAAGAGAGTTAATGAAAGAGTGAAAAATATAAACCAGTATAAATTACGTTATAGGGTAATAGAAAAAGATACTTTGGATCACTATGCCATGCAAACAGTGGGAGTGGCATTTTGACGAGGTGTTGACCTAAACTTTAGCACGTGAAAATTTACTCTCTGCCAGGGGCGTAACAAACGGGTTTTCAATGTGTAAGCCCAATGATGAAATGTGCTGCCGAAGGCAACACACCGAAGCGCGTAGTGCGCGAAGGGGGAGGGTATGGGAGGCGCGTAGCTGGGCTTTTTCAATATGCGAATGCGAGCGCCGAAGGCGCCAAGCCATTCTAGGGGGGAACGGTGGCATGCCCCCCGGATTTATTTATTTTTTATATCTAGAAGCTCTGTTGTGCCATCTGGTGGCTTTTTGGAACATTTTTGAGTGTTTTAACTTATTTTACAGACAATATTTTTTGGTTGATTCATTCACTTTGTTATTGGAAAGCATCGCAAAAATTCAAATGTATTTCAAATGCGAAAGACAGCTCTCCTTTTTTTTTCTCCGACAAAAATGTGTCGATTGTTGGAATTCTTCGAAAATATCCGTTGCGTCATAGCTCTTTCCTGATGAATCTAAATTAACTAGATATTTAAAATGTCGGAGCCAATATGGATAGAATAATTTCAGATTTTTTGCTGTTGTGTCCAACAAACCCTTTTTATATCATCAACATTTCTCAGAACTTAAGATGACGGTAGCTCCTATATCGATGTTTAGATATATGTATAGATCTACATATATATCCAGGAGCCCTACTGAAGATAGACCTAGGACATATTTTATAAGTTCATGACGGGGGAAAATTAATGTATCTAACTACGTGTATCTATGATGTGAAATTCTTAATAGACCTTTATAATGTCACAGATTAGCAAAAGCTAGTGGGGTCTTACCCCTTCCCATCGATGTGGGTCTGGGGGTCTCCCCCAGGAGAATTTTGTTTTCTGGAACGCATGAGACGCGTTCTCCCGTGTTCTTGCGTCATTTTCAATGGCCATTTTAAAGCAAGAATATATCATTTTCCCCTATTATTTTACAAATATTTAGCTTTTTAATATTTTGTATCATATTGTCTTTGTCGCTTTTTTATTATTAAAATGATGTGTAAGCCCGGGCTTTTTTTGCTACGTAGGTTGTTACGCGCCTGTCTGCGCATCGGAAAGACCAAACATACATGCATGTATTTTAACAAATGTCACTGCCTTAAGCTTGTGGTACATGTAACTTGAATGGTACGTATATAGGAACATTCCCACATTATCACGTGACATTGTATACCATAGAAACGGTGTATCATTTCAATCATCACTGGAGCTAACTAATTACCCGATTAATGCCAGTATCATTAAAATGAATACCAACACGCCCCAGAAATGATCAGCTCGTGTATCTTCCTTCAATATCATTTGAAAAAAGAAGATGAGTCAAAATTGTTCAAGCTGTCAGATTTTGTGTTTGAGTACAATAGTAGGCGGTCACGGCCAGACGGCCAGACTTATTGTCATTTATGGAGAGATGAATGTCCATATGATATCGTGGCCCTGGATATCGATCCTGTCTGACCGGACATCAGGAATGTGACCGGTTCATCGTTTGTTTCGGACGCAGAGGTACGCTATTAGCTGTCTAATGGGTTGTTCACAATACAAAAGAGATACTGTATGATTTAAATTATTTTTGTAATACATGTATGATATTACTTTAAATAGTCATACAATTGAAGACACTCCGATTTAATAAAAACAGTCATATCATTTTTTTAAGAATCCATAAATAATTCGATCAAACGCTCATAGATCGGATATCATTATTTTCGGAACAGTTAAACATCCATTTAGAATTTGCTCTTTTCCACATGAAAAGGCCCTACGAACAGACCATATCTTTATAATACATTCCTGGAAAGAGACTCCAAGCTTCCTAAACAGAAACACCCTTCCTAGAATCAAACGCTTATAAAATACACCCTCTGAAGATATACTGTACAGGTTCCGCTCAAGAAATACACTCATGTGCGAATCTCTCCTGGAAACAGACACATTCCTTCTAGACGCTGATACGTCCCGACAGCCACAACTTCCAAGAAGTGGATACGTCCCTAGATACTGGAACTGTCCCCTAGCAGCAGATACATGCTCCAAGAAAGAGACATTTCCTTAAGGAAACCCATGTACGTTCTTAGAAAGAAATACACGCTCCGAGAGGCAGATACACCAGAAAAGAGAGACACACACCTTTTTACTTGCATTGCTTTACTGGAAACTGACCCATAGAAACAGACAATATTCATTGCTTTCAGGATTTGGTGTGAGATAAAGGACAAGAAAAAAAATTCTCACCACAAGCGCGGATATAATCGAGAAACCACTACAAATGGACCTGGTGATTATAACATTCTCACCTCAGCGCGGATGTAATCAAGAAACCGCTACAGATGGACTCGGTGATTATACCACTCTCATCACCAGCGCGGATATAATCGAGAAACTGCTACTAATGGACCCGGTGATTATAACATTCTCATCACCAGCGCGGATATAATCGAGAAACTGGTACTAATGGACCCGGTGATTATAACATTCTCACCTCAGCGCGGATGTAATCGAAAAACCGCTACAAATGGACCCGGTGATTATAACATTCTCACCACCAGCGCGGATATAATCGAGAAACTGCTACAAGTGGACCCGGTGATTATAACATTCTCACCACAAGCGCGGATATAATCGAGAAACTGCTACAAATGGACCCGGTGATTATAACATTCTCACCACAAGCGCGGATATAATCGAGAAACTGCTACAAATGGACCCGGTGATTATAACATTCTCACCACAAGCGCGGATATAATCGAGAAACTGCTACAAATGGACCCGGTGATTATAACATTCTCACCACAAGCGCGGATATAATCGAGAAACTGCTACAAATGGACCCGGTGATTATAACATTCTCACCACAAGCGCGGATATAATCGAAAAACCGCTACTAATGGACCCGGTGATTATAACATTCTCATCACCAGCGCGGATATAATCGAGAAACTGCTACTAATGGACCCGGTGATTATAACATTCTCACCTCAGCGCGGATGTAATCGAAAAACCGCTACAAATGGACCCGGTGATTATAACATTCTCACCACCAGCGCGGATATAATCGAGAAACCACTACAAATGGACCCAGTGATTATAACATTCTCACCACCAGCGCGGATATAATCGAGAAACCACTACATATATGGACTCGGTGATTATAACATTCTCACCACCAGCGCGGAGATAATCGAGTAAAGACTACAAATGCACTCGGTGATTATAACATTTTTTTTCCAAAAACCTGATGATCTTCACTCGCCAATCATTAATTAAAAGTCAAGTAAGTAAGATCACGGACTTTGATAACTAATCTAATTCCGTGGTAAGATGGAACCTTCAAACCAATGTTTTACAGCATCGTCAAGATCAACAGTCGGAGACATATAAGAACAAATACAAGCTCGGACGGAGCTTTACTATATACTGTTACAATGGGAGAAATAAGAAGAAATTAAAAAAAAAAAAAAATGCTTCAGGATCTAGGTTTTCTTTAAGCCAACACGAATTATTCCCCTTGAACTACACACGCTCATATATTTTTAGAATCCTCAGTTTGTCTTAATGCATAAGGAGTTATTCCCCCTGAACAAAAAGTCTCACTCGATTACGCTCCGATAACACATTTTCTCAGTCAGGATTGATTTGTTAACCTTTTTAGAGACATCTAATTAACACGTGTTTTAGTTCTCTTGTGATATAAAATATACCCAGTTGTAGTTTTGCAAATTATGTGTAAATCAAATAAAAAATAATCTCAATCTTAACATATTATTCCAACTCCATATTTCACGAGAAAGCGTAAAAAATCACTTCCAGAATATTGTAACATGTTTACATTTATCTTACAGCAAGGACAGTCCAATTAGCTAGTAAATAATATCATGGTTACCAGGACGAACTAATGGTAGTAACAACATGTATTTCGTAAAATATTCATATTTATTGATTAAAATAGTCATGTATTTGCTATCTGATTTTTATATAAGTTTATGTATTTGATAAGTATTACATTTATATTTTACCACCTAATAGTTTCCCAGCGTATATACATTTCCGGATTTATGATACCCGTTCCAGTTTATAGTTGTCCAGTTCCATGCGCTGACCTACTTCCGGTGTTATGGTGAATAGTCGTTCTGGACCACAAAAGACCATCATTCTTTCTTTCTTGGAACAGATTCAGGTAATTCATACACAAATCGGCACTAATACAGGTCAAGTCATTGTTAGTTTTGTATACATGTTGCTTTGTGAATTTAATTATAAGCCTAGTTTGAACAAACAACTTAATATTTCCACCCCATGACACTTTCGTCACAGGCAACTTTGAAATGACTTATAGTGTTAGCGACATAATTTGAACACAGGGGTTACTAATAAATGTCTAAAATACACATGTTATTCTGATCTGGGTCACAGCACACATAAACATACACTCAATATCAGTAAAACATATGCACATGTACCTGTGGGTACCTATGTGCATTTTAGACATTTGTAAAGAACCCATCGCCTGTGATAGGAAGTTGGAAAGATAAATTTGATGGTATTATCAAAATGTAGAACTATATGCCTGGTTATCTAACTACAAGTTGCAACCATATATAGATTATTATCATTAGTGGAACATGTATGTTATTCGTTTATAAATCTGTAATTAGAGAGGAACAATACACCGCCAGACCGGGGTTCGAACCCGGGACCATCCGAACTCTAGACGGATGCTCTACCAATTGAGCTATTTAGTCGCCAACGATCGACCCAGTCTAGTTCTGCTACATTCCTCCCTCCTTTAACAAAGTCTTCGACCCAGAAGACACACAAGACCCTTATACCGCCTTCTGTGGGTATATTTTGCTGGGTGCCAAATGTAACAGGAGAGCAAAAATGCACGGCCAGACCGGGGTTCGAACCCGGGACCCTCCGAACTCTAGACGGATGCTCTACAACTTGAGTTATCTTGTCGCCGACAATCGACCCAGTCAAGTTCCGCTATAAAATCAATAAATAAACAATCTTTATTTAACGTTGTGTACATTGTCAACCACAAACATAAGCTCTGTAGAACTTTAATTACAACACTGCTAAGGGAACAGATGTTGTTTTTGTGACGGAGGAAAATCAGCGTGCCAATGGAGTGATAACAACTATCAGACATCACTCTCTTTTTTCACCACCACTGGAGTTTAAACCAAAACTCTAGGGAGGGTGAGAGGTCTGAAGCCCACATTTGATTGCACACAGTAGTTATGACTGTGCATTAGTGCTCACGGTTACCGATGATGTTGTTGATTTTGTCTGAGATGTGACATTTGAACACAGGATTTTTATGCGCACACAGCTTTGTAGACAATAATAATGCAAAAGTATTATACCAATACTAGCCAACTTTTTCATGGGGGAGATTATGTATGCTGAGACAGTAACTAAATTAGGAATATATAAAATTTAGCAAATTCACTGGTTGAAAATGCTCAATTTTAGTGTCCAAAATCGGGAGTCTCCCTCCTAAATATGCTCTTGTGATCTGACTTGCCCTGCCTGCCCAGCCTTGTTTGTTTACTTATGGTATGTCCAGTGTAATTTTCGTGTCATTATTCTTGTAATTTGAAGCATTTTCTTATAGTTCTTTGATAGTTGTGACTACATAGACACTTCAGGAATATGTGTATAGGTATTTTTTCCCCTTATTTTTAATATTCAAGGATGTGTGTGTGAGCACAAAATGTCTGTTTAAATGTCACTTTTCAGCAGAAAACAGCAGAATTTAGAAAAAAACAACTTTTATGATCATAGTTTACGTTTCACTTCATACACGGTAACCAAATTGCTTACATCCTTTTTTTAATTATTTTAAGGAAAATAATGAGCCTGTAGCAAATTTTACACATTGACATGATCCCGAATACAATTCCTTAAGGTGATGCACTAAAGGATGTATCAAACCTGTTTATTCTCAGATACATGTTTGTGTGAGTGAGTGATGAATACATGTTGAAAGAAGCAAATTGATCTACTATAGTAGATTTAGGTCTACACGCTAAGTAATTCAAATTATGTGTTAAGAACATGGAAAAAAAATGTAAAATAACATGGATTAGAAAATTTATCATTTGGGATATTAAGAGTACTGTGCAAGGTTAAACTGAACTAAGAAATATTGAACGTTATAACCCGAGCTGAAAAATGCCTAACTCACATGCGAATCATTCTCCTTAGCAGAATTTCCTGTGAGCATGTACACTACAAGAATAAGCTTGAGAGACCATTACTGCTAATCAATTTAATTAGTTTCAAAATTGTTCACTTATTTTGAAAGGAAATGTGAAGAGTGTAAAGTAAAAGAAAGTGTTGCATGATATTTTCAGGTCACTAAACTGATTCAAACAGATGGTATATATTCTATCTTTGGCTTGAATTAAGTGAATGAAATAATGAATCGCTAAAATGTGAGCAGAAATGGCAGGGCATTTTATTTTATGATTTACAAATGATTTACAAAGAAATCAAACCAATAAGATACCATTATATATATGGCACAAATCTGAAGGATCTCCCAAATATACATTTCTACTTGTGTTTGAACTGATGATACTTGTGATGAGTTTTGATATATGACTCAATTATATATATATATCAAATTGAAATACAACTTCATTACATATATATGACAAAATTTCAATCACAAGATGGTTTCTTTAAGTAAATTCAAGTCAGGTAATATGGTCATCATTCATCAATATAGAAACTCTTCCCAATTTTAATTTTGGCTTGTGATTCAATACAGTTCACTTGGTCTGACTAACTGATCATTTATATAGAACTGTCGGATTAACTTCTGCAACTACATCTAGGCGTGTTGTAGACTAGAGTATGATTATGAAAGAATGGACGGAGTCGACACATCATCTGGAATAATTACAGCGGACCATTTCAAAAATAAGAATTTATACTCAAGATGGTGCTGACCATCCTAGGGGGGCGGGCTAAAAGGGGTCACAGAGTGCAAAACCTTCAGACTACGTCTATACAGTAAATTACTGTGGGTTTTCATAGAAGATAGTAAGTATATATAAATACAGCCTATACAACAAATAAAGCCCCCCCCCCCTCCACACCGCCCCAGATAGCTGGTCATGAAGTGATCAGGGGGTGCAGTGGACAATGCACTCGCCTTTCATCAAGGCAGCCGGCTCCAATTCCTATAAGTTACTATTGACTCAAGAGACCAACATTTCCTAAAATTCAAACACTGTCTCCTCTGAAAGTAGCTTGTAGATTGGTTGAACACTTTATGAACTGATCCTATAACAATGAGGACTATAATCTCTGCTCAATTAAAATAAAGGGCTGACTCCTCTCTCCAGGTGAATGAGGGGCATGGCAATTAAGGGTTACAGATNTGTGAAAATATTATTGCTCATTCTGTCTCTCATTAGAAACCGAGGAATGCTTATATGTTAATTAATTATCCCAGTTATCTTTGGTTCGTTAAAGCTAAATCTAATTATATTCATCATTTTTATTTTCACTCAAAAGAGACCGGTGACCATAAAGGCCCATGCATGGATTTCAGGGCCCCAATGTTAATCCTCACACTCTCATGAACTTTATTTAGTTGATGAGGAAGTTGAAAGGGGATGATCATGATGATGAATGTTGAGAGTTGATTGAGGAGGGTCATGATGTGATCAATGATTGATATTGATGTGAATGATGAAGGTTATATGACATGGATGAGGAGGAGGATGATAATGAGGATGACGATGGTTTTATGATAAGAAATATGAAAATATATATATATATCAATCCTCTGTCTATAAGACAGAGTATAGTATATAAATACTTCATAATGGTATGAAGTGAAACGTAAACTATGATCATAAAAGTTGTTTTTTCTAAATTCTGCTGTTTTCTGCTGAAAAGTGACATTTAAACAGACATTTTGTGCTCACACACACATCCTTGAATATTAAAAATAATGAAAATAAAATACCTATACACATATTCCTGAAGTGTCTATGTCTCAGACATGTAAAGTTTTATGTAAAATTGAGCCTGAGTCTCCTCTGGCCCTAATAAATAAACATCAATCCGCCTGAAGAAGCCCTAGAAGGCAGAAAGGCCTAGCGGACGATCTGAAAAATTTGTTTTTATTCTCTCTATATATATATAGAGATGCTAATGAAATAGATGCCATTATAATGCAAAGACAATAAGATGAAGTTATGCATTGGCAAGTTCATGTCATTTAAATTATAATATATTTTGTTGAATTTTATTTTCAAATTAAAGTATATGTTTACACTTATCAATGTGTTACTTGCAATTTTCAGTAATACTACAAGGATAAATAAGAGTTTTATGGACTCTTTACAGTGGTATAGATAATCAATGCAATATGAGTGAAGTTGATATTTTGTCACAAAATTGCCGCTGCACATCTCAATCAAATAAATTGGTAAGCTGTGTGAGCAATGCAGGGTGGGTATTTCAGTCAGACACGGGATGGAGCCACGGGATATTTCAGTCAGACACATGGTGGAGCCACGGGATATTTCAGTCAGACACGTTGTGGAGCCAAGGGATATTTCAGTCAGACACGTGGTGGAGCCACAGGATATTTCAGTCAGACACGTGGTGGAGCCACGGGATATTTCAGTCAGACACGTGGTGGAGCCATGGGATATTTCAGTCAGACACGTGGTGGAGCCACGGGATATTTTAGTCAGACACGTTGTGGAGCCAAGGGATATTTCAGTCAGACACGTGGTGGAGCCACAGGATATTTCAGTCAGACACGTGGTGGAGCCACAGGATATTTTAGTCAGACACGTGGTGGAGCCACGGGATATTTCAGTCAGACACGTGGTAGAGCCACGGGATATTTCAGTCAGACACATGGTGGAGCCACAGGATATTTCAGTCAGACACGTTGTGGTGCCACATAATCAGTTGACTGTCATAGTTTTGAATGCCCTGAATTAATATATGAATTCTTATTTAAGTGATTGAAACTGTAGTATTTCAATTTATTTATGATCTAAACTCATACTAATCAAATAAATCTATGTCCATGATAGGCTGAGTCTCCTCTGGCCCTGATTCCAGACTTGCAATCCTGAGTCTCCTCTGGCCTTGAGTCCAGACTTAGACATATTGTAACCCTGAGTCTCCTCTGGCCCTGATTCCAGACTTAGACATTTTGATAGCCTGAGTCTCCTCTGGCTCTGACTTCATGCTTGATAGCCTGAGTCCCCTCTGGCCCTGATTCAAAACTTAAACATTTTGATAGCCTGAGTCTCCTCTGGCCCTGATTCATTACTTAGACATTTTGATAGCCTGAGTCTCCTCTGGCTCTGACTTCAGACTTGATAGCCTGAGTCTCCTCTGGCCCTGATTCCAGACTTGATAGCCTGAGTCTCCTCTGGCCCTGATTCAAGACTTAAACATTTTGATAGCCTGAGTCTCCTCAGGCTCTGACTTCAGACTTGATAGCCTGAGTCTCCTCTGGCCCAGATTCCAGACTTGATAGCCTGAGTCTCCTCTGGCCCTGACTTCAGACTTAGACAGCCTGAGTCTCCTCTGGCCTTGAGCCAGACTTAGACATTTTGATAGCCTGAGTCTCCTCTGGCTCTGACTTCAGACTTGATAGCCTGAGTCTCCTTGGCTCTGATTCCAGACTTGATGGCCTGAGTCTCCTCTGGCCCTGACTTCAGACTTAGACATTTTGATAGCCTGAGTCTCCTCTGGCCCTGATTCCAGACTTGATAGCCTGGGTCTCCTCTGGCCCTGACTTCAAACTTAGACATTTTGATAGCCGTAGTCTCCTCTGGCCCTGAGCCAGATTTAGACATTTTGATAGGATGAGTCTCCTCTGGCCCTGACTTCAGACTTACACATTTTGACAGATAGATGTAGATGTCTGGTGTAGGCCACTGTCAAAATGTCTAAGTCTGGAGTCAGGGCCAGAGGAGACTCGGGCTATGTTCATGATAGTTAGGTCCCATATATACAAACGGAGGCTTACATAGACTAATCGCTATTGTGTTTGTTGATGTTGACTTGATTTATTGGTATATTGTACATAATGTAAATAAATAAGGAAAGAAACTCAGTTATTTAGGAAAACAACATAAGATTGAGATCTTGTTTGCTTGAAAATGTTCTCTTACACTGAGTCAGCCATGCTAATACTAGTATTAAAAGATATTTTTGTTGCCAGATCCTTAATTGCCTGAGGATTATTGTATGTTTTAGTTTAAACCCCACTTTTTATTGGTGTTATGAAAAAGTCATAATACTTACTTTATGATATCTTTTTTTATTATAGGTTTCATCTTGGAAAGCAGTAAAGATGTTGGAGCGGCTCCCATTTCTTCTGGAAAATGGCAGCATTAAATAGGAATGGTTTACAGATGAAGCTTTCCAGTATCAGCAATGAGACAGCTATGGGAGACGAAGGGCAGTTGCTTATGGACAGGATTGAAGGGAGTGAAAAGGAACTGCCACCAACTGTAGGGGCAGATACGGAAGTGGTGGCAGAAAAAGGGAGGCAAAAAGAACTGTTTTGTCATTATTGTAACAAAGTATTCTACAAGCAGAAGAATCTTAAAGTTCACTTGTGTATTCACACAGGGGAGAAGAAGCTACAGTGCAACACGTGCGGCAAGTGTTTTATTCAGAGTTGTCACCTGAAGAGACATTTACGAAGTCACTCTGGTGAGAAGCCCTACTCTTGTGACATATGTGGAAACCAGTTTTCACAGAATGGGCATCTCAGAGTACATCTTAAGTCTCACTTCGGCAACAAGAACTACAAGTGTGAATACTGCCCAATGGCCTTTGTGCAGAACAGTCACCTTAAGAGACACATGCGGTCCCACATGACCATACGTCCGTACAAATGTGACATGTGTGACAAAACCTATAAGTTTAGTGACCATCTGTATATCCATCTACGCCGACACACAGGGGAGACCCCTTATCACTGTACATTTTGTGACAAAGCCTTCCACACTAGCGCTAATCTTAACGCCCATGTCAAGATCCACAATAAGTATGTCGACCGCAAGTTCAAATGTCAGGTCTGTGTGAAAAAGTTTCACACAAACTATGCTTTGATGAAGCATATGGCCGTGCACACCTCAGATACACCATTTTCCTGCCGTCTTTGTCCCAAGAGCTTCAAGTACAAAGGAAACTTAAAGCATCATTTTGATGTGCATAGTAATGACGAAGCTATGAAATTGCTCAAGTGTGTTATTTGTGTGAAGCGTTGTTCATCATTCCAAAGTCTTAAGGATCATATGTTGTCTCACTATGAAGAAAACTGCAAGACACCCAAGTGTGAGATATGTAACAAAACGTTCCGGATTAAAAGTAGCCTTCAGATGCATTATTCCTTACACACTGGACAGAAACTAGCCTATAGGTGTTTAGAGGTGCCTTGTCAGTTTGAATCCAGAACAATTGACGAAATGAAAGATCATGGCACTTCTTTGCATAGCGTTAAAGAGGACGATGGATCAGAAGAACACACGTTAACTGATGATCACATGACTAGCTGTAATGAAATGGAAGACCATGTTTCTGGCACGGGAAGGAAGTTCAAGTGCCCAATGGGATGTTCACACAGTTTTGACAATATCACTGATCTTGTTAGTCACCTGAAATGTCACATAAAACTTGAAAAGAACCGGAAGTCAGTCGACCACCGTTCTGGACCTTCATCTGTTGCCAGGGTTAACGAATCTGGCACTAAAGGCACTGGGATTGGAATTTTTGGGAATGCCAGCGATATCCATTCATTTCAAGTCAAAAACGGCAAGCAGGACAAACCAGTATCGCCGTTAGATCCAGTAAGTATGTTGATTGAAACAGCAGAACAAGTATTACCCAATTTTTATCATCAATCATGCACTGGTGGTCAAATTCAAGAGGAATCTAACGAGAAAATGGCTGAAGGACTACTGCAGTTACATCACAAACCTGTAGAAAAACGTCAAATATTGATCGAGGATCATTCTAACTACCTGCAGAGAGCTGGTACAAGCCCCGAAGGAGGATTTGTGGTGAGTGACAGACAGTTCTCTAACAGTCCTTCAGAAAAGGAAACCATTTCATTTTCTATCATAGTGCCTGAAAAGACTGTTCCAGAAATGTCAAAACCGTCTAAACGTCCGGCTCTTCAGAACCCTATCCTAGTTCGGACTCTTTCTGGTCCATCATCTGAAAGAAATACTCAACCAGCTTCAACCATGGCACAGCCGTTCAAAAGCTTAGGGTCTACTGTTGGAGAACAACATAGCAACGTTACTATCAGTTCAATGGAAATAAGCGGAAACAGCTGCCAGACACAGGAAGTAGGAGACATTTGCGCAAATAATGTAGTAAGAGAAAGCAATGCATTGTGGATAGATAGTGCTGAAACCAATCATTCATTCATCATAGAAGGAAATGACAGCTGTCAGTCTTTGGTGATCGGGGGCCATGTGATCAAAATGCTTGACAATTCCCGTGTAAATGTTTCTACCAAAAGCGTACAGGAACAGGGTGAAAACATTCAGGAAATTGTGGTTGACGAGAGAACAATGCATGAACTTGTGATTGGGACATCAGAGGTGCCATTTTCTGTTGGTGTTGATGCTAGATTTCACCAACCTGAGCATGGCACCAACTACCATCAACTGAGTGTTGACGAGGTGGAAGAGGTTATCATCCAGACAAAACCAAAAGAGGCCACCACTAAGCATGTCTTTTATAGCAGTCAGAGCGTACCAAGTGTGTTAGAAAGAACTCTGAACAAGGAAATGGGTAATTCAGATTCTAGCATGGAGTCCCGTGTAGGGACCAAAGATGAAGATATAACAGTTGCATCTAGTATCCAGCAGAAGTTTGTGTCCAACACAAATGTACAGGAAACCAACGAAGCCAAATTACAATACGTGCCTTACAGTAGCGAGAATAATGTCTTTATCGATAGTATTGGAGACCACGGGTATGTGTTGAGTCACGGAGAAAATTCTGTTGTGAGTTGTGAAAATACAATAACTGAAGGACAGGAACGGGTTTTAGAAGAGATCAGTGGAACTCCAGACATTACAAAATATACTGGTTACCCATCAAACTTGTCAAGAGACGCAGAGCTGGACATTCTTGACGCACAGGACGTTGGTGTGTTGCGGTGTCCATTCTGTAATGAACATTTTCAGGATGATAGTGTCTTAAAAGTTCATTTACAAAGTCACATGAACCCAGAGAAAATTGTAGTCAACGTTGTTATGTACATGTGTCATTTGTGTAATGCCGAGTTTAACAGTAGGGAGAGTTTGAAGGCACATTTACAAACACACGTGTAGGTGTTACCAAACTAGAGTTGCTGTATACCGAACATTTCAATCTCAAATACGCTCATTTTTCATGTCAACTAGGGTTGCTGTCATCCTCGATATCCCCTCTAGGTAGGGTTACGCTCACTTTCGCGCTCTGCACCTCTGGAATATGTCTTGGCACAATTGAAGGCTCAGTGTGTACCACATTGTTGATGAGACAAAGAAAACTAGTTCGATCCTTTGATGTACATCAGAAGAAGCTTGCAGTTACGTAACGGTAACAATGATAGGCTTTGAAGTCGAGTGTCGCTCCTTTGTAATATTCAAAGGACAGGTATCAGCGTAACAATTCCAGGGGAGCAGGGAGCGCAAGTGAGCGAAACCCCTGGATATCGAGGATGGGTTGCTGTATTCCGAACATTTCAATCTCAAATAGGCTTATTTCTCGTCATAATATCTTGTTTTATTAAAATAACAGTTTCTCTCTTTTGGTATAAGGTTTGCCGTTTTATAAACTAAACAGAGTACTGTATACGTTGACATTTTTCTGGATCTTGTTAGAAATATATAATTTATTTTTCCTCTCACTGACTATGTAGCAAGTTTTCAGTTTTCATGAGGGACCTTGATACCTTACCCAGACTAACGGTTAGGACTGGGTTTGTAGAGAAAAGCCAGGCCGAACAAAGCTAAGGATTTCAATGGTACTTATGAAAAATATCAACAGCATGGCCTCGGATATGTTTCGAAGAGAAACCCATTCAGTCTTTACAATGTATAATGGCAAATCTAAAACATTAATAAGAAAGCAGCGTATTGACCCTGAACGTTTGATTTAAAACGGACATTATCTGTCCAGGGTTACATAGACCATGGCCTTCAGACATCTTTTGACATTTGTTTATGAATCACTTCTGTTTCTCATGCTAAGTTACTATCGGGGATACCCACTGATGTAAATGTTATGTTTATTACATTCTTGATCAGTTCCTTGGCATTCAGTTCTCTGCTAGATGTTTGCCTGCATGCTAAATACAAATTGTGTACTATTGTCGTATTTATGTTGATAAATACATATTAACAGTGTTAGTAGTTCTGTAGAATTGCTTAATTATTTATTCAAAATAGCAAAGTAAACAAAAATAAACCCAAAAAGTAATGGAAGCAAAAAGACGAGGAGACCCTGTTCGGTAGCTCGAGCTCGCCCGGTTCTGCTGTCAAGACCCATGTTATGTTTCTATTTTTGCCATTAATGCCCTTTTTTTCAATTGAGATGATAATTTTGGCACAAAAAGTTTCGTTATTAAAATAAGTTTTGCTTAGAACCTATATGAGCTGATTGTTTAAGGCCAGTTTGAAATGATTCGCTCAGTGTCATAAACCTATACTGTACCTAATTATACGAGTACATATATGTACCTGTTACTGACGGTTTTGATTTGTGTATTTGGATATTTTGCAGGAGATATATTGGATGTGTAAAGAAATAAAGTTAGTAAATATTTCACACTTCCATGCATTTGTTTCTCACGTTCACTTACAGTGTTTAAACATTTATTTTTCAAACTTTTGGAGTGTTTATGATATCTGTGACTAGGTGGATTTTGGTCTTTGAATATGAAATAAAGTTACTATGCACCACTATTTGTTTTGCGTTGACCGTCTCCTAATGTTGACACCGATTAAATTGAAGAAACCTAGCATTGTATACATCCTCGAAACTGGAGGGGTTTCGCTCATTTGTCATAGCAAACTCTAAGGCTCCCTGTGTACCACCCTGTGAATGAAACGGAAAGACTCGTTTGATCCTTTGATGTAAATCAAAAGAATTTCTCGGTCGCGTTGCTGTAAAGTTTACTGGTTTTGAAGTCGCGTTTCGCTCCTCTCTAATCTTCAAAGGACAAAGCCAAAATGAGTCAAAATTGCCGTATAATTATGTCTTTATTTATATCCTGTCTACAAATGTCGATAGCCATCACCCTCATGTTCTCTCATTTGATCTTAACTGTTTCACTACGCAACATAACACTGTTATTTAAAAGTTATGTCGAAGTTAAGGCAGAGACGTTACACTGATTTGACTCAAGTGTGCAAAAAGGTACAATGTAGAATTAGACGTCTGAAGGTTTAGACCAACATTAAACAAAATATCAATCTAATATTGATGATGTATAGTTAAGACCATAAAAGAGACTGCGTTTCGTATGAAATTCACGAAACAAGAGTAAGACATTTTCATTTCGGCATGCTTATTATGCAACGAGCTTTATCAATCTCCTATAAAATAGAAAACTTAAAACTATATTTCCATCACCTCGCATTTGTATTCATCAAATGGTTCAGATGGAACAAATTGGCATGTTGCAATTTCAGGATTCAACTTTGGTAAAATGTCACATTGTACCCGTGGTTGATTTATTCTTAACTTTGTATGCATGAAATACCTGATATTAGTTTTATTAGGGGATGCTATTATATTGAGTTGCCTCCCTTTAGCCATTTTCACCGCTCGTGTAACTTGCATGGATTGTAGTTATTAGGCCAGATTATATTTTATCGCACGTTGCACGTCTATATAAAACGAGATTCAATTGAAAGTCTAGTTATCAATACATGCTTGTGGAATATTATATATATAAAGATATAGGTCACGTAAGTAATGACGACAGTTTGATCTAATATTGGCACCGGATCCAAACAAACAAGTGTTGGTTGAATGCGTATTACTTAAATAGATATATGAGCAAAGAAGAAATAACGACATTGTGGATAAGGAAATTTGTCAAATGTACAGGGAAATCCACCGCTTTATGAAGACAGAAACTTGAAAACTTTTATGTCACAATATATATCAGAGATAAACAGTCACTATTAAACAATAATACAGCATAAAACTTAAAAACCCCAGTGGTATAATAAAATATGCTGTTGAAATCGCATATACCTTCGGCCTGCTTGTAACAACACGAATAACTAAGAATAATATTTTCTCATTATATTTATTAAGTTTTTAGCTCACCTGGTCCGAATCCTAATTTAGTCTGGAGTATCCTTGGGCCAAGGAGACTCAATTTTGTATAAACGGTGGGTGTGCNTTAAAACCTTTAAAATCCTTCTTCTATCGTAGGAATAAAGGAATTTTATCCTTATTTAGTCTGGAGCAACCTTTTGCCAAGGGGACTTAATTTTGTATAAACAGTGGGTTTGGCGGCCCTGGGGCCTGATGGGCGGGGCCCAATAGTAGAATTAGTGGTAAACCTTAAAAATCCTTCTTCTACCATAGGAATTAAGGGATTTTATCCCAATTTGGTCTGGAGCATCCTTGGGCAAAAGGGACTCAATTTTGTATAAACAGTGAGTGTGGCCTCCCTGGGGACAGAGGGGCGTGGCCCCATAGGGGAAACAAAGCAAATTCTTCAAAGTCCTTCTTTTTCTGTAGGAATGAAAGGATTTTGCTCATATTTGGTTTAAAGCATCCTTTGGTGAAGGGGAACCATTTTTTTTAAACGATGGGTCTGACCCCCCTGAGGGTAGAGAGGCGGGGCCCAATGAGGGTATTGATGAATAGCTTTAATATCCTTCTTCTGCCCTTGGAATGAAGGTAATTTGACCAATTTGAACAGTAGCATCCTCTTTGGAAGGAAAATACATTTTGTATAAATGGTGGATTTGAACCCCTTGGGAGCAGAGGGGCGGGGCTAATAGGGAAAGTAGAAAAATAGCTTTTAAATCCTTCTTCTGTAGGAATGACAGGATTCTGTCCATATTTGGTCTGAATCATCCTTGGGTTAAGGTTAATTTGTTAATTTGGTATCAACAGTGGTTCTGACCCACCTCGGGGCAGAGGGGCGGGGCCCAATAATGGAAACATAGCAAATTCTTCAAAATCCTCCTTTTCCTGTAGGAATGAAAGGATTTTGTCCAGTTGCATATAAATATAACCACAGACTAACCATGTAATACATGTACACTACCAGAACATCTGGCTATTTTCAGTTTGTTAACATTTCCAGGTGAGCGATACATGCCCTCTGGGCCTCTTGTTTCCTATTAATTTACTTGACTTCCGGTTTTATACCATAATTAGCCTGCGGTTGTTACAAACTCACCAAAATGATTTGCGATTACATCATATTTCATTTAAGTGACTTCTTTTTTTATTTGTGTATTTTTGTTGTTGTATGATTGTTTTATAGTGACTGTTTCTCTCACCTTTATGTTGTGATATGTTAGTGTTGATGTTTCTGTCTTCGAAAAGGGGCAATCCCATGTCCTTAATTACGAAACATCTGGCTTCTCTTCCAGAAAAGCGTTCCAGTGGTTGTAACTGATTGCTGATGTTTTCGAGTTCCTGTTGTTTCCCCTGTACGTCTTGTAAGTTCCTTTGGAAATCTCATTAGTTCCTGTTGTTTCCCCTGTACGTCTTGTAAGTTCCCTTGGAAATCTCATTAGTTCCTGTTGTTTCCCCTGTACGACTTGTTAGTTCCCTTGAAAATCTCATTAGTTCCTGTTGTTTACTGAGTTCCTAGTGTCTCTGCAGTTCCAGTTGAATTTTCGCCAATTGCTGTTGTTGTCTCTTCAGTTACTGCTGTTGTCGATTTTTGTTTTGTTTTATTCTTGTTGATTGTGTTATATACAGCGATTCAGACGATGGTTTAATTCTTATTATAACAGGATATTTCCGCGGGGAGGATATTTTTGCGGTCTCACGGGTCAATATTGTGATTGCGAATATATGATAATGAAACAGTGCACACGTGGCTATTACGATTCTTATACAAGAACGACTGGTCTGTTCTCTTTGATTTTCTATTCAAGGGTGTTCATATGATCATCTCCTTTGTTCCTATTTTGCCCGTGTTGTTTCGATTTGGACTTGTTGACAGTTCGTAATTCTATTGTTGCTTTTGCACATGGCGTTGGCCATATTGATAAAACATTATGTTTGTTCAGTGAACATTCTAAGTCATTGCAATGTGACTATCATAATATTGGGATTTCTATAGGTGTCGAATTTGCTGAACTATTTGTTAGAGTAATGTTTTAAAAAAAATGTATGAGTTTTAACTAGTTTCCTGTGTGATTCTTTGAATATATAAAATTGTATTCCGTTTAGGGCTCTTTAATACCGAGACACGTTGGAAAAGATGCTTCTGAGCGCGCTCCGATCAAAGTGATGATGAGGGATTAATAAGTATGTGAGGCGATCAAAGAGATTTTGGGGGATGGCGTATAATCTGATCCGATCATAGTACTTCAGGTGTAGAATTACATTGAAGAACTTGTTCTAATCATGTTGATGTCGGGGGATACTTTAGAACTTGATTTGATCATAGTTATTTTTGAAAGGTTCACAACCGGGTCACATCATATTGATGTTCTGGGGCTTCTTGAGAATTTTACCCGACATGGTGACTTTTTGGTTGCTTTAAACGTGATCCGATTAAACTGACACACTCAGTGGATTCGTATACGGGTATAGTGGTGTTTTGAGATGGATTGTAATCAGAGTTGATCTTCGCGGGGTTTGGTGATGCGTTTGTGATTCACCGGATCTTAAAGGCATGTCGGTGAACAAAAACTGCGCGGCATAAACATCTGACGTCAATGCTGTTCCACTAACGGCGTTCACAGCGTGCCGTACATAACCGTACATAATACTAGCAATGCTCTCACCGCGGTTAACGTTCCTGCTGATTGATAAGTGACTTATATATATATATATTATCAGAGAGCAGCAGTTATAAACATAATGTCCAGCTATTTAATAGTACACAAGTTTCAATATACTTTCACATGTTTTCCTGTTCGTTGCGCGAAAACATCTGACATAATCTGTTATAAAACTTTGCATTCGAGTGCTTACATTTCATTTTATCACATCCCTGTACATGTAACTGATCATTTTACTATATCATATGACCATGTCACAAATATGTCAATATACATGAGTAATAAAGCAAAAAGTGGCTGCGATTGGTCAACACCATGGTAACGTATTCCTACGCGACTACAATTTGTCCATGTCATGTTGAATATATTAAACTCGTTCAATAATTTAATATGATAATCGCCTAAAGGCTCGTGTCATATCAAATTATTGATCTCATTTTATAAATTCTGTGTAATATGTAATGTCCTATATGTAATGACCTCCCTGGATCTGAAACCAACGGTGTTGAGATATCGTAATATATTCGATATTCAATAGCTTGCTGAGAAAATCGTGATTTCCGTAATCGGTGTTGTCTGCTGACGGACAAACACAGTAGATGCTGTTTGATTTACTGTCGTCATTTTGATCCAATTAGGAACCAGTTTATATAATGTTGTGATATGAAAGTTTATGATGCTGTAATGCTCCTAGGTTGCCTTTTTGTTCTGATGCTACTGCTCCTTGTGTTCGGTTCTAGGGCATGCTGTTGAAACTTGAGTTTTACATAGAGCTACATGCTGTTGTCGATGTAGCAGAAGGTGCTAATACTTTTGGAACACCTGGTCTTGTTTTCATAATTCTTCTCCAAGAGTGTTATTGTATTTTTTCTTTGTTTCTATCTCGTGCTTATTTTACGGATTTTAAGTTGGAAGTACTGTTTTGTTAACATTTCGAGGAATTTCTCTCAGTTTATTTCATGCTTTTTA